AAAAATATACAAAATCAAAACGTTTATAAAAACTAAAATATTTGAAAAATTTGAAAAAATGAAAAACATTTTCGGTTTCGGTCTGACAATTTTTTAAACAGGCACTGTTTTTACTTTTTGGTAAAAGTTGCCATAGAATTTAATGCTTATCAAACATAGCATACTTGCCTTGAAAAACCGGGGGCCTCAGTTTGGTCTCCCCAGCGGAGCATGCATATGTTTGTTTTGTGATTTTCTCCCACAGGCTCCCTATAGGTTTATTCATTTTCACAATAATTGTTCCCCTCTGTGTTTATATGTCTATTATATATCAAATTATTAACTCACTTAGGGGTGGCAGTCACCAGTATGAATGAATTAATGTCCTATGAGCACTGAAGAAGTAGTCAGCACTATATAATCAGTGTCACAGAGAGAAAAAAGACTAATGATTCCAGATAACTAATATCTTAATATAACTATGTGTTAACATAACAACATTTCACTTTACCATATCTTTACTGAACAAATGATTTCAACTAGATCAAAGCCTTTGGCAGAATTTTGTTGATGTGCAATATGGACTAATCTGCAGAACATTTCAGAGGACTTGCCAGAAAATTAGATGTTGAGGGTCCTAAGAATGGAATTTGACTAAAGTTTGATCTTTCATCAGTTTATAGTCATGTAGCTAGTTTACACCTCCTAACAGTAGGACTTCTTCAACGATCAGTGCAAAGGAATTGCGTCAACTGGGGTATCCTTGGGGGCACCCTGGCATCCCTGGGGAGCACCACAGATCTAATATACGGTAAGTCCAGTAAATCTTTATTGCACATGACAAGAGTTCAAAAGAGAAAGCCAATGCATTTCAGGGACTCAAAACTCCCTCCTTATAAATGAAGAGAATACTGGACAACAAACTGCAATATAAAAGGGTAAGAGTAGAACTAGTTTGGGTTGCCGGTCAGGTGCTTTCATCTTTTCTATATTCTTTAGGCTTAGGATCTTGAGGAGTCTCTGACCTTTATTAACATCTGCATTTATGATGCTACCATAGGAAAAGCAAAGGAAAACACAAAGCAAACATTTGCTTCATGATTTTCAAGACTGCCTACATTTTACAGCATTACTTGAAAAATATTTTTGGGCTAGATGAGCCAAAATAAGCTGTCTAGTATACAGACATATTATAATTGTAGCAATCAACACAGTGCATACCAGCACAAAAACCTTATCCCAACTGTGAAGTGAGTATAATGGTCTTGGGCTTCTTTGCTGGATGCAATACAGTTATTAAGGCCTGCATGTATTGCAATTATTAAGGGATTATTTATTATTAAAGAGTTGTATCAGGTAGTTATAACACAAAATGCCAGGAGGTCTATTTTTAATTTAAAACTCACAATAAGCTAGCATATATTTCAAAACAATTATCAAAAATACAGAAGTAAATCAACAAAAAGGTGGCTCAGGTATAAGGCTTTCTGTATGTTAGACTGACCAGGTCTGAGTCCTGACCTCAGTCCTATTGACATGCTGTGGTGTAATCTGAAAAAGTTGTACAGCAAGGCAAATTTTAATATACATCAAGAGGAAAAGTTATGTATACAGAAGGGGATAAACCATCTTTTACTGATGTGCAGGTTTGAGCAACAAAAGGAGTTACACTAGTCACTAAAATATTTTTCCATCAAGTACTTTAATTGTTCAGAAACATTAGGGCAAGACAAAATGATGGTTGTTTGTTAAATAATACTGTTTTTATTCATTAACAAGACTGAGATGATCAGATCTCATTTTAAAAGCTATCTACAGAGAAATTCAGTAAAGTTACAATAAATCAACAGTTGTAATGGCCCCATTGATGAAACATTTCAGGGTGGAAAAAGGGGCCAGTTTAAAAACTGGAGGAAAGAAAACTAAAAGTGTAACCCATAGAAAAAGGTTTTTCTCATGCAGATTCGATAATAAATGCAAGTGTTCTGGGAAATAGTAATATGCTGTTTGTTCTCAGGTATTATACATGGGCTATTTATATTGTGCTGTAAAAGCATGTTTTACTCTTGTTTCTGTTTGTGGTCTGACTGATGTTTTGGCATAGTGAGTCTGTTGTGTCTGCAGTGTATTCCTGCTGATGTATAAACATTGCTATGGAAGAATGAGCTATAGGAATAGTTTTATCCTTGTGCAAGGCCTATTGGAAATTGAAAGGGTTCAGAGAGGGCCACTATATATAACTTAATATTGCAGTATTTGGACTTGTCTGTGCCTTTTGTATGATAATTTTAACCAGAACTGTACAGATTAGAAATGAAAGAAAGTTCCATGGCCACCACAAAAAAGGGGCAGGATGAGTGGTCAGACTTTGGCTTCTTCTGGTCTGAGGAAAATCCATTTCTTTCCGCTCGAGATAAATTGCCTTTATTCGGTTTCCTTTATATTTTCTTATTTGTTTTTGTGTTTTGATAATAAATGTGATAATATGGAAAAATGTGAAAGCACTGCGTATTGTGTAAAAGAAAAACAAAATGCTTAGATACCTGCAAAAAATAGGAACGTCCAGCACCAGCTCTCATTCTTCACTATTTTGCACAGCCTTGTTTCTATGTATCCCTGGGCAAATTTAAGATTATATACAGTATTCAATTACAAAAATGAGACTTAAGAGTGAAGAAATTTCATATTCACAGCAAACACCTTAGTTGTACTCTTTCTGATGAAGATCAAGGGAGGGTGAAGGAAATCTATGAAGTCATAGAGGGTCCAAACCACTAGATGTTTAGCATCAGGATGTCACTTGAGTGGTCTCCTTGTCCAACTGGACTTTACAAATGCTCTTTTGGTTTAATAGGCACACACACTCCAAATCTTGTGGAAAGCCCTCCTAGAAGAGTGGAACCTTGTGCAGGAGGCATATATTGGTGTAATGACATGGTGTTCACAAATATTTGGCCATATAGTGTAGTTATTGCTGACTGATTTTACTTGTTGCCTGATGTTTACAGCACACCTATCAATAAGAATACGTGGACAGCTCCTGCTAGCCTCCTTCTCAGGTGGTTGGCTTTGGCATAATTCAGCCTTCTAAAACACAATCCAGAAAAAGCATGCAGCAAATATATGCTAGAAGACATTAAAAACTACTTGACTCTATATTTGTTCTGGGTTAGTAATGCAGAAAGAACTGAAAGCAAACTATAAGCCAAACAACTAGCATTCTAGCAGGAGAAAACAGCAATGTCAGCCTACATATTTCTATCGTAATAGGGTTCCTTTAAGATCAAAGCTCCCCAATGCCCAGGTATATCAGATAAAATTGCTAAATACATATCACATGAGTTACTCTGCAGGTCTTTAAACATGTTTCTACACTATCATTAATGATAAAATCTAGTTCTTGCATGTCTTGGACTCTTTGTTAATGTGTAACTAAAGTGTTTATCAGCTGAATTCACAAGATTAAAGCAGACTTAGCTATGGACTGTGAACGACATAACAGTAGGGTGGGTCTAATCACCATTTGTGCTCGAGGGTCTCATGTTGCACCAAGATGATCTTCTAGCCTCTGTGTCTCTGATAATGACAGGTTATAGTAGAATTAAAGCCCAGACTTCTTTTTTAGTTTTGGATAGAGAATATAGGGATTTCATTGTTGTCTGATGAAAGTGAAAGAAAATCTCAAATTTTGAGTTGTCACCAGGAAAATCAGTGGGGACACTAGTTCTGGTGACAACTAAGCTCCTCTCAGTTCCTGCTGTGGCTATGTGGCAGGAAGAGAGCAGAAATATCCCCAATGGGACACAGATGGAAAAATAAATTGACTTACTATATCCACAATGAAAAAAAATGTTTTGGCTTCAGTTCCAGCTCAAACTCTGTTCCCTGAGAGAGGTCAAGATACAGTAATGACTCGTAGAACACTCAGAGGCCTTACAATATGCTCCAACTTGTTACCAGCATTCAGAAACCAGAGCGTTCTGACTCCAGACTGCAAGTTTATATTGAATTCCCCTGCATGAGTTCCTGTGATTGTGGATTTCTATCTCACTAGTGTTTTTCTGACTATTTCCTGCAACATGTGCTCTTCTTATAGACACAATTTTCTCATTTTGAGCTTCAGAAATGTCAGAGGATATTCAAGTTCTGATTCTTCAACAATATGACTTTTTTTTGTTACAGAAACACTCCAAGATTTGTTCAAATTAACCCTTGCAGTGGGGCTACCCTTGCACTGCGAGGGTTTAGGGGCAAAAGTAAAGAAGATATACTCACCTGATCCTTTGTCCCGCCTGGCTGCTAGGCTGGTTCCTGCAGTCTCTTCTCCCACGGGCTCTGGTGGTCTAAGGACCTGTGATGTCATAATGTCTAATGCAGGTCCATTAGATGTGAGGGCGCTGAGGGATATACCACAGCCGGGGTCGAGACTCAATTCCTTACTACAATGTTTTTAAGATGTAGGTAAAAAACCTTTTGAAATTCACTGTGTTTGATAAATAAACTTTATGGATTTTATATAAGCCTACTTGATACAATTATGTTAAATGATATATAATGGACACCTAAAAATCCTAAGGTATATAACCCTTCTGGTTCAAAATAAAATGATTACTTAGTTATGCTGACAAAATAATATAGATTGAGGAAAGGAAACATAAATAGCTCATACAATAATCTTCAGGAATATTCTACAATATATTTTGGGCGCAATTTTCTTTCCTCAGGTGGTCAAACACACAAGGCGCCTGTTGGCTGATATCTGCAATTTGGATGATAACTGGAAGAGCTACGAACAACTGCCAAACCCTAGGGCAGCAGCTGAAAATTGAATGTGCATGTCGAATGTACACAGGAGTGAAAAGGACCTTATCAAGAGGGGTTCTCTTTGAATAGTTTACCTGCTGCTTAGAATTTATAAACAGAATGTTAACTACTTGCTTGGCACATTCAATGGAAACATACATGTGATTTTCTGGATCCAGTATATTGTGATGCAAAGCAAACAAAAAAAAGGTTAAGTCTTAAGGGGGTAACACTTCTTTTTAATACAGAGAATTGCTTTTCAACCTTGTAACAATGTTGGATCTTATATGTACGTTTTATGTGTTCATAGTCTTACAGTGGATAGATATCTTAGCTGCATGAGTCCATGTTATGGTTTGGGACATTGATATGAGGCCATGAGACAACTTTAATAACATTTCCACATTTTTTCCTACTTAGATAAAATAAAATAGTTTGCCTTAAGTCCGTCTGTACATATGTATATATATATATAGATTGCAGACAATTCATTGTTCATCTGTTTTGCTGCTATTCCTGAACTTTACTACCATGACCGTTATGTTATCAGGGCATCCTCTGTAGAAGGATTGTAACACAATGCTTTTGGCTCCAAAGTGAGGTTCATCCAGGCGCTCCTTAATGAACCGGACAGCTTCTTCGTTGCTGAAAGCGTCCCACAGCCCATCAGACGCCAAGATCATGAATTCTGGCTGGAGCTTATCAAGGTCGAAGCTTAGGATATCGGGGTCTGATATAATGACATTTAAGTTCTTCAAAGGGTAATCCCCCAAAGAACGGGACATTGCCAAAATCCCTTGAACTCGCCAAGATCCATTGAAACTAATGAAGCCACCTGCACAACAGAAGAAAAAATGGAAAATTGGTCAACAAAAAATGAAGCTACACAATTTCATGTATATTATGTGTTTCTTGTGTTGTTATTACTGTGTTTACTCTCCTATACAGTATTATTAACCTGACCTACTCTGTTCATTGGAATTAATGGGAGGTGATGAAGGGGTGCTATCATCTGAAAGAAGTGAGCATTCTCTTATAGGAAGTAGGAACAGTTTTATAATTCTTTGCCAGGAATTGGGTGTGTAATAAGGCAATTCTCTCCCCAGCCTAATCCTCTCTCTCTCATGTATTTTGTTTTAAAAGGTGCAGCTGTCAACAAATGAGAAGGGAGAACACAGGACAGGACTGGGAGGCGCAACACTGTTTTGGGCAGTGCTGGTTCTGCCCCTTAAAGAAATATAGTGAAAATTAAAATGTTCTTTTCTCTTATGGTTGAATGTTCCTTGTCTATTGTTTTAGGCTATCTTCTGTTTAGGTTGAATCTTCTAAGGCTATTGTTTTAGGCTATTTTCTCTTCTGGTCTAATGTTCTCAGACTATTTTCTATTGGGATCGAATGTTCTTAGGGTATTAGGCAATGTTACATTTGCCTTGCAATAGCCAACCTAAATATCAGAAAATAATATTTTGCACATATTAAAATGACACGGGTCATTTTTGCGTCTTTTGCTGCATTCGTTTTCTTTTGTTAAGGCTAACCACATTTTCTGCAAGTACAGAAAAATACCTGCTGATACTTTTTTTTATAAATAGACACCAAAGTTTTGCAAGTATGAATGCATTGAACACCTATAATTTACAATTTCAGAGTGCTTTCATTAAAGAAAAAATGTAGTTCTGTTTTTATACAGATGCTCACCTACTTATCGTCTACAGGAAGAGAGAAAGGTCATTCTCGTGCATGTGCTTACAGTTTTCAAAATCAGTGTTCAAAATCACCAGTATGGAGTTCTGCTTTTACTGTAGTCACGTGATCAGCATGTGCTGTAATAGAGAATACTACACTCCTGGCAACCCTCAAGAATCATAGCATTCTGTGAATGTATCTCACTTAAAAAAATAAACTCTCTGTAAAGTAATCTAAAAGGCCAACTCCAGCTAAAACACTTTTATTTTGGATAGTGAGACTATAAGGTTGATTTACTAAAGGCAAAAGTCAGCACAGCTTCACCTCATTCACTAAGCTAAGGGAAACTTTGCAAAGTGAACAGCCTACTAGCCTTTAGTAAATCAACCCCCTAAGAGTCAGGTTATTTTACTACTGTGACCCCACTGGGGAGAAATCCCATGACAAACGGGGAATACATGAGGAGTAGGGTTGTCACTGGGACAGGAAGGCACAAAAAGTGTTTTTGCTGTTGTCTTTGTCTGCAACAGAACAGGAAGAGAGTGGAAAAAGAGCACAGATGTAACTAAACTTGACAGAGCTTCTAACCATTTCCTATCAAAACAAAACAGAAGGTTTAGTTGGATTTGAACTTTAAAAAATCTAAAACACATTTCGAGGATCTTAGCAAACTTTATTGCAGATCCATACCTCCTATTCTATACATAGAAAGAAAAACGACTTCTGTGCACTTTTTAAAAAGGTGGCAATATCATTGCTGATTGGGGTACAGCATGTGTCAGTGCTGAATTAGGAACTAGTATCCCTTTAGATACATAGTTCGCTCATGCATCTCACTAAAGAAGAATCCGAATTCCTGTAATTTGACCTCAAGATCTGTGAAGGGTAATCTGTGAGCTAATTACAAAAACAAGGGGATTAGAAATCCTGACTACAAATTAAAGATAGTTGCCATGGTTGCAGGAAAGCAATTGCATTTTTTTGGCAGTTACAGAATACCTTGGCTGGAAAATAGAAGATAGATACAATTATAAAGAGCTAAAATAACAATTATTCATATTAGTTATCAGTTTTAGCAGAAGTGGATACACAAACACTTCCCTTTAGCTATTTTTACAGAAGGTATTCAATGGATAAAGCATTCTTGTACAGCCTACAGACATGGACAAATTTGTTGGTACCCATACATCTTATTGAAACAATGCTCCATTCCTCCTGAAAAGTGATGACATTAAAATGAATCCTCTCATGTATAACTTTTGCCTTTGGTATGTCATAAAGTAATGCAAAGAGTGAAAAGAGATAAATTACTGCTTATTCTTACAAAGATTTTTAAATGGCCTGGACAGGTTTGTTGGTACCCATAGAAGAGATTAAAAATAATTGGCGCATAGTGATATTTTCAACCGCTTTCTCGAATTAGCATTAATTCAATCTTGTAATCAGTCAGTAAGCCAATTTTAAATAGAGAAAAGCAGTAACACTGCCACTAAACATGGACCAGGGTAAACAATGGAGAGAGGTGTCTGAGGAAATCAGAAAGAGAATTAAATACCATCCTGTCAAAGGTAAAGGTAAAAGGCCATCTATAAGCAGCCTAATGTTCCTGTGACTACAGCTGCAAATATTATTAGGAAGTTTAGGATCTATAGGACTGGAGTCAACCTCCCTGAACATGACTGCAGGAGGAAAATGGACCCCAGATTGAACAGAAGGATGGTGGGAATGGTAGACAAAAAGCCAAGGAAAATCTTCAAAGAAAAGAGATTCAAACTGAATTGCAAGGTCAAGGTACATCAATGTCTGATTGCACCATCTGTCACTTTTTTCAGCAACAGTGGACTTAAAGGAAGAAGACCCAGGAGGACACAGCTGGTGAAAGAAAAACATAAAAATGTCAGACTAGAATTTGCTAAAATGCATATTGACAAGCCACAATGCTTCTGAGAGAAAGTCATTTTGACAGATGAGACAAAACTGGAGTCACATCAAAAAAGAACACTGTACCTACTGTAAAACATGGAGGAGGATTAGTTATGTTTTGGGACTACTCTGCAGGGAGCAAAACAAAATCTCAAGACTATTAAAAAACTCTGACTGCCCAGTGTCAGGAAACTTGGTCTCAATTCCAGGTAGTGGGTCCTTGAACACAATAATGACCCAAAACACACAGCTACAAGCACCCAGGAATAGCTCAGGACAAAACATTGGACTATTCTGAAGTTGCCTTCTATGAGTCCTATCAGATATCTATGGAAAGAGATGAAACATACAATCTGGATAAGGCAGCTTTAAAACCTAAAACAGCTGGAGCAGTTTGTTCAAGTGGAGCAAACTACCTGTTGGCAGGTGCAGAAGTGTCATTGAGAGCTTCGGTAATCACTCATTTGCAGTGATTGCATACAAAGGTTGTGCAACAACATTTGGGTTAGGGTCCCCTACTATTTTTTTTGCACATATAATTTATTTGTCTAATATATTGTTGATTGCCTGATTTTTATTAAACATGGAATAAATACTGATAGATGCCAATTACTTTTTTCAGTTTTAAGTTATTTCAGAGAAAATTGTGGGTTCTGCTTTTTTTGTGGAAGGGTTCCAACAAATCTGTCCATGTGTGTGATTGTTGCTTCTGTACACAGTGGAGTAAGGAGTGCCGTTATTCAGATCACAATGCACTGTGCACAGGTGACTGACAAGTGTATAGAAGTTTCTGTTCAGTGAGCACATTTGTCAAAATGCAGACAGCAATCAGATTCTCATTTTAACTTTCAAACATGCACTAGGAAACAGGTTAGGTTGCTATTGGCAACAAAGCCAAAATATTCGACAATATATAAACATATCTAAACCCCAAAAGAAAAATGTAATATATTGCAGCTTAGCAGTCTTTAGATGTGATGGCTGCATTAGGTTTCTTTATTCCGGGACTTTTTTTCTTTTATTTGAAATCCTGCCAGTAACACACTACCAGGCCAATGCTCACTCACTGTACTAAATCTATTGAACAGTATTGTCACCCTAAGCTGCCATCCTGATAAGGACTACAAACACCACACCGTCTCCTAAGCTCTATTACATAAAGGGTCATTGCTTTGTAGTTTACAGAAAAGAGTTGGTAACATTGGTTGAGAATTCAGTTCAATGCACAGGAAGTTACAAGGACACACGATCAGCAGGCATTTTTCTGTACATGCAGAAAATTTGCTTAGCTTTAAAAAAGGAAACAAATGCAGCCACAACCTCAAAGGACTGGCAAGCTGCAATTTATTCCATTTTTATTCTTGGGTTTCTATATCTTTATTCCATTGATCTCAGTAAAACGTACATACCCATTGCTTCCTTATTTTTATACTCTCGTACAATGTGAGAAAAAGTATACGATAGCAAAAGGAATTTTAAAACTGTCCCAGTTCTACGGATCCAAAAGAAAGGCAAGTCCACCGAAACCTGATGTTTTAGTTGTTGTTAAATAATGCAGAATTCAGCCACCTATTTCTCTCATGGACCTAATGGCTGCTGTACGCGTTATTCTCAAAAGCGCGTACAGCAGCCAAACTAAACAACCAAATGTAGCGCAGTGGAATGAACATGCTCTGGCTCGGCCAGCCAACAAACAGCCAGAGAGAGGAGGATGGTCTGCCGAAGCAGACTGAAGCAGTGAATATGTTGTTAAAAGATAGATTTTTTTAAAAAAAAGCGTGTACTTCCCTCCCTAATTCATACCAAAAAGTGAGATCCCCCCTAACGTTCCTACCAGACCCTTAATCCAAGCAGCACACTGGCAGATCAGGAAAGGGGGGGGGCAAGGGAGCACCCCCTCTCCCTGTGCCATACCAGGACACACGGCGTCAACATGGGGAGGGCTCTTTCCCGACTTCCCACAACCCTGGCCTGGTGGTTGCGGGGGTCTGCGGGCAGAGAGGCTTATCTGCATCTGGGTGCCCCTTTCATAAAGTGGGTACCCAGATGCCGCCCCCCCCTTGTGAATGAGTAAGGGGTAATTGTTACCCCTTCTCATTCACCAAATAGTAAATAAAAAAGGAAATAAACAAACAAGACCATGAAAAAGTCCTTTATGTAAACAAAAAACACAAGCCCTTTATTTATGAAAAAAAACCGCATAAAAGGGTCCATCAATGTAACCCA